AACCATGTAAAAACCACACTTACTCCCCAAACCAAAAATAAACTGCCATTGAGTTCATTCCGTCTCAGAGTGACTCTAGCGGACAGAACCGAACTAGCACTTTGGGTTTCCAAGGCTGAACATATTGACAGGGGCAGAAAGCCTCATCTTTCTCCCCCGGAGCAGCTGGTGGCTTTGAACGGTTGTTTTGCAGTTAGCAGCCAATGAGTAACCCATTATGCCATCAAAAACAAACAAACAAACCAAAATACCAAACCAAACCAAACTCACCGCCATGAGTTGATACCGACTCATAGTGACCCCTATAAAACACGGTAGAACTGCCCCAGAATTTCTGAGACTAGAACCCCTTATTGGCGTAGAAAGCCCTGCCTTCCTCCTGTGGAGTAGCTTGTGGTTTCAGCATCTCACCATGTAACCTTTTCCCTACCAGGGCGGGAGAATGAAGATGTGGAGGCTGTGGTTAGGAGCCCTGGTGGTGTATGGTTAAGTGCAAGGTAGACAGTTTCAAACCACCAGCCGCTTCTGTGGGAGAAACGGGGCTTTCTACTCCCCTACAGAGTTCAAGTCTCAGAACTCACAGGGGCATTTCCACCCTGTCTTATAGGACCACTCTGAGTCGGAATCAACTCCAAGTCAGTGAAGTGAGAGGCTGGATTTGGTCCTTGGGCTGTCATTTGCTAACTGCTGTAATTCGCTAACCCCTGTAATCACGCTTCTATTAAGATGAAAGGAGCTACACAGAAAGGACTCAATAGCTCCTATTATTACTCTTCATTTTTACAAATTACTTAACTTAAACATAAACCCCAACTCAAAATTATAAACGAAGTAGGGGACAGCTAAGTTGGTATAGAAAAAATAGGTCAAGATGCCAATAGTTAAAATGTAAGCTCCATTGCTAGATGTGCTTTTTTGGGTAGTCACACATAGAATTACCTGACAATAAAAGAACAATGGAAATGAAAAGACAATCCTGAAAATGCTAACAATAACTGCGCTGATGTGAATGCCTTCTTCCTTTCACGGATCAGAAGGCCCTGCAGACCGTCATGAGACCCCACGGTCCCTGTAAAGCGTGCCGTGGATGGCCAGAGGAGCAGACACATCAGCCCTGGAAGAAACCTCTGGTGGGTACTGCCTTGTGACCTCTCAGTTCATTCAAAGACTGAGCATGATGATAAATTTGATAACCCAAATTTCTACTGCCAAAGTTCCTCCTTCATGCGGTTAGTAGAAGGCACAGAACCCCTAGGATCAGCCTTCACTACCCCTTTCCATCTGAAGGTGGGCACAGAATAAGGAAGACAAAGAAGACTTGAGGTCTTTGAATTATTGTGGTGGCCAAGAATATTGAAGTACCACGGGCTGCCCCAACAAACAAAAACAAATAAATCTGCCTTGAAGGAAGTAGAGCAGAATGTTCCTTAGAGGCAAGGACAGCAAAACTTGTCTCATGAACTCTGGACATGTTCCTGGGAGGGACCACTCGTTGGACAAGGCCATCAGACTCGGTCAAGTGGAGGTGCGGGAACAAGGAGAAGATGCCTGCCTAGATGGATTGACCCAGGGGCTGCCAATATGAGCTCCAACCTAACGATTGTGCGGAGGGAACAGGACTGGGGAGTATTTCATTCTGTAGTACCGAAGTTTGCTATGAATCAAAATGAATTTGATAGCACCTAGCAACAACAACAAACAACAAAGTTTCAGAATTAGTCTACTAGTTGAAGATTCATTTCATGAAGGAGAATCACCTGTACAGACATAAGGAGGCAAGGAAAAGCAAGTACGGGTTAGAGCTGGGGAGGCAACTCCTTAAGTAGCATTTACATTGCAAGGGCAATAGAACTACTCATTTGCTATTTAACAACCAACGTTCAAACCGAGGCTTCAGAATAATTTGGGAGTCCAAATTTCTAACTTTGAAATATATAAAAAATAATGGGGGAACTAACATGCATTTGTTAGTAAAGATTTGTTCCTGAAAAATCGATCCCAGTGAGTATAAGCTGTCTATACCCAGTGATGTTTTTAAGTTTAATTTCTAGTTAAGTTCAAACAGGTCCATGCAATTCTTGTGGAGCCTAACTTTTAGTACAAGAGGAGGAGCCCTGGTGGCATAGTGCATATGCGTTGGACTGCGAACAGTAGTTTGAAACCACCATCGGCTCCTCAGGAGAAAGAGAGCCTTTCTACTTTTGTAGGGTTACTGTTTCAGGATCCCATGGGTGCATTTCTCCCCTGCTCTCCAGGGTCACTATGAGTTGCACTCACTCATTGGCAGTGAGTTTAGTAAAATGGTGACCAGACGTCCCGCTTTTGGCAGGACAGTCCCGATTTTTGGTGTTTTAAAAAAGTCCCGATTTTTGGAAAGAATGCACGACAAGCTAGGGAACGGTCTACATGGTCCATATAGGCCACATTTTTAATCAAGAACACCACCACCCACCCCCAGTCAATGGTGTCCCGCTTTAAATCTGGTCATGTGTTAAGCCTTGGGCTATACTAACTTATAAGGCCAGCAGTTTGAAACCACCAGGAGCTCCGCTCTGGGAGAAAGATGATGCTTTCTACTCTTGTGCAGATTTAGAGCCTTGGAAACCCACAGTGTTTTTTGTTTTTGTTTTTAAAGATCATTTTACTGTGGACTCTTACAGCTCTCATAGCAATCCATACATCAATTGTATCGAGCCCATTTGTACATATGTTGCTTTATCATTTTCTGAACATTTACTCTCTATTTGAGCCCTTGGTATCAGCTCCTCTTTTTTCCCTCCCTCCCCCCTCTCATCCTCATGACCCCTTGATAAATTATAAAGTATTATTATTTTCATGTCCTATACCGATGGCTGTCTCCCTTCCCTCATGGTCTCTTCCCCCTCCTGGTATCGCCACTCCCATTACTGTACCTGAGGGATTTATCTGACCTGGATTCCGTGTGTCAGGAGCTCTCATCTGTACCCTACAGTGTTTTATAAGGTCACTATAAGTTGAAATTCACTTGATGACAGTGATTTTGGTTTTGGAATTTAGTGCAAGAAAAGGTTCAAAATCTTTTCAGTGATATAAAAGGTACATTGTGTAGTAAGTATGTGATAAATAATGTGTTGTGAATAAAAGTTATTTCAGTAGTTTCAAAGTGAGGACATGCTTATATAACATTAAAAGGCAAGTAGGAGTCATCTATAAATTTAGGACTGACTATATTTGTATTACCTTTACATTTCATCAACACTAAGTTGCAAAAAAGCATAGCTTATTCTTTCAATTTAGTCAAACTGGGTTTTATGAGACTTTGCCATTTGTTTTTGAGGAGGAGGTAAATTAAAAGTATGCAAATAGAGATATAGTTTAGTTTGGGGGCTAAAGGTTATTGTGAATTTTTTATAGTAAGCTGAATTAAAGATAAGTATTTTAAAATAATTCTAAAGAAATTTTAAAAACATTTGAAATAGATTTCCCATGAGGATTAAGCCTCTGGTGAATCCTCTCAGACCAGTCCAGGGATGTGAACAGCCTTGTTATCAGACTGAGAATATTGTAAAATGACTTATAACAGTTGTGGTTAGGTTAAAATACAACACCTTATCATTTCATCTCTGTTTTGGACCCATTTAAATTTTGTTGAAGTTTTTAATATTCCCTGCTTTTTTCTTATTGAGATGGATTTTGGGCTTCCACTGTCAACCACAGTCTTCTGTAAACCGGTGCTAATAATTTAAGTTCTGATATCGTCCCTCCTCTGGGTTTTGGTGTCATTTATAATCCAAGGATTATAAAAAAAATAGTAACCAGAACGGCATACAATCAGTTACTAAATAAAGTTCCAAAATCCTAACCAAACTCATTGCTATTGAGTTGATTCCAACTCAAAATAACTCTCTATAGGGTTTGAGACCGTGAATCTTTCTGCTGCAGAGTGGCTGGTAAATTTGAACCAATGATCTGGCAGTTAGCAGCCCCATGCCGAATTCACAGCGCCACCACCAGAGGTCCTTAAACAGAATTGTCAAAGTTATTATTCCAGCTCTATTTCTGACATTTGCTGGGATTGCTACCTGGATCTGTTTATAACCCACAAACGTCCAGGGTGGAAAATGCAGGAATAAACTCTGAATACATGCATTGATAAACTCAGGGACTAGAAAGAGTCTGGTTTCTGAACTTTAATGCATATTTATCATCTTCCAATCTCGACTTCGCAGGACACATCAACTCCTGCTTCCTAACCATGGGGATAAAGATGCCCCCCCTTCAAATCTGTGGAAACTGTTATGAAGGAAAGTCTTCTATGTAGGTTAATTGTTGTCTGTGTCAGACAATTGTCTTCTCTCTTCCCAGTGGCAGTGAAAAAGACATGCCACAAAAGTGTTAAACATTGATTCATGTCTTTAGAACAGCAAATGCAATATCTAGCAAGAGCCAAAAAATGTATTTATACCCTTTTGACCTATTAACTCACTATACTTTTGAGAAGCCAGCAAGCACAGGCTTATGATTTACGTAAATCAAACGAACTAGCCAGTCAGCAGAAATCAACCTAAAATTCCAAATAGTTGGGGAATGGTTCACCTATCTCATGAACTATAAATGGATATAACTATAAATTGAAAGAAAATGACCAAAACATTGAAAATACTTTATACAAGGGGTATGAGATAATGGTAAATGCATTGTCTATGTGTATACTTATTACCAAACTGCAAAAACTATATAGCATTAAGGAGAAGAATTCCAGGAAACGTGAACGTTTCTTTTGAGTAGATTTGCTTGTTTTATAAACTCTTTGACATAGTAAAAATGTTGCTATGATCAACAAATCACTTACACATTCATATTCTCTGTTTAAATATGCCCATAAATATGAGCTGAATTTTGTACTTGCCTATTTTTATAATTTATAGGTTGCAAAGGAAATGATCCCCCACCCTTAGACACAGGGAGCTGTTTATCTCAGTAATTGCATTTAGATCACAAGACAACATTTAGTTACTCACGCTTTGGTGGGCCCGTGACGTCCCTGCAGCCGGGATTCATGACCGCTCAGAGAAGACACACTCCCTTTTTTCTTTAATGAATGCGCGGCTCGGTCTTTGGCATCATCTGACATCATTACAACCTGTGGACAATTTTGTGAAATGCTAAGAGAAAGATATAAAATCATTTTAGTTAGGATAACTCAAACCAACCAAGCTCATGGCTGTTAAGTAAGTTCTGCCTTATAGTGACTCTTGGTAGAGTGTCAGAGGCTGTAAATCTTTCCAAGAGGAGAAAGCCTCATCTTCCTCCTGAGGCGCAGCTGGTGGAGTTGAATTGTTGACCATGCACTTAGAACCCCAAGGCTTAACCCACTGTGCCATCAGGGATCCTTGAAGTTAGTATATAACAGAGACTAATTTCCAAATGAAGTACACACACTTTTCCTACCATTTTTTAATGTGGAAGTTGAGTTTCCTCAGGAGTGCTTTACAGTGTAATTGGAAACTTAAGAACTCATAACTTTTATTGATGCAATCAAATACTGTTTCACCACCACTTGTCTGTTTGCTGTGACCCTGGAAGCTAGGGCACTGGTACATCAAATACCATCAGGGTCAACCAAAGCGAGCAGGTTTCAGCAGCGCTTCCAGACTAAGAACAGAGTACGAAGAAGGAATAGGCTGTCCACTTCAGAGGTCTTAGCCACTGAAACCCCTATGGATAGCATGGACACATGGTCAGTGACTGAAAACCTAATGAACAGGAGGAGAACTTGGCCCGAGGTCGGGTCAGAAGATGCCTCGGGTCAGAAGGCACTCAAAGTAACACTGAGGAAGAGCTGCTTCTCAAAGGGGAACTGACCATAATGACTCGGATGGAGTCAAGTCTGCCGGAGTGAAGTCCTTGAGACCTTCCTTTGCTGATGGGGGCATGGCCCCAAACAGCTTCAAACATCAATTGGTAAGTGGAACTTGGAATGTACAAAGTGTGAATCCAGGAAAATTGGAAGTCGTTCAAAATTAAATGGAAGACATAAAAATGGATACTTCAGGCATTAGGGAGCTGAAATAAATGTAGTATCATTTTGAGTCAGAAAATTCTATAGTTTACTCTGCTGGGAGTGAGACAGTCAAGAAGAATGACACTGCATTCATCCTCTGAAAGGACATTTCAAGATCTGTGTTGAAGTACAATGCTGTCCGTGATAGGATAACGTCTATCTGCATTCAAGGAAATCCAATCAATACAACTAGTATTCATTTTTGTGCACCAACCACTAAAGCTCATGATAGAGAAATTGAAGAATTTTTCCAACGTCTTCAGGCTGAAATTGATTAAAAAAAAATGCAATCAAAATGCATCAAGAATTAAAGGGGGAACTAATCACAATGATCTACATATAACCACCTCCCAGGACAGACAACAGAAAAGTGGGTGAAGAAAGACAGCGGCCAGTGTAATACATGAAAACATAATAATTATTTATAAATGATGAAGGGTTCATAAGGGAGGGAGGGGAAAAATGAGGAGCTGATGCCAAGGGCTCAAGTAGAAAGAAAATATTTTGAAAATGTTGATGGCAACAAATGTATAAATGTGCTTGACACAATGGACGGATGTATGGATTGTGATAAGAGCTGTAAGAGTCCCGGATAAAATGATTTTATAAAAAGAATTATTGGTCATTGGAAAGCAAAAGTTGGAAAAAAGAGGAAGGAATGGTCTTTGGAAAATATAGTCTTGGTGATAGCAATGAAGCTGGAGATGGCATGATTGAATTTTGCAAGACTATTGACATATTCATAGCAAATGCCTTTTAAAAAAACTAACACAAAAAATGACTAAACATGTGGACTTTTCCAGATCAAATTAATTATATCAGTGGGAAGAGACAATGAAGAAGCTCAATATCAGTATCTAAAACCAGGCCAGGGGCCAACTATGCAATAGACCATCAATTGCTCATATTCAAGTTCTGGTTAAAGTTGAAGAAAATGAAAACAAGTCCATGAGAGTCAAAGCATGACCTTCAGTATATCCCATCTGAATTTTGAGAACATCTCAAGAACATTAAACAAGAATACTGAACATTAAACAATAATCACAGAGGAGATGATGAGCTGTGGGAGGACATCAAGAACATCATTCATGAAGAAAGCAAAAGGTCATTAGAAAGACTGGAATGAAAGGAAAGATCAAAGTGGATGTCAGCTAAGACTATGAAACGTGTTCCTAATTGTAGAGTAGCTATAGCAAATGGAAGAGATGATTAAGTGAAAGAGATGAACAGAAATTGAATCGGTGGAACACCAATTAAAATATTGCAACAGCTGATGAAGCACTGGGAGCACTCACTCGTCTATGCCAGGACATTTGGAAGACAGCTACTAGGTCAACTGACTGGAAGCGATCCATATTTGTACCCATTCCAAAGAAAGTCCACCTCACAGAAAGAACAAATCATAGAACAATGTCCCTGATATCACATACAAGTAAAATTTTGCTGAATGACAGCCAACAACCATTGCAGCACTACGTTCACAAGGAGCTGCCAGAAATTCAGGGCAGATGCAGAAGAGGATGTGGAACAAGGGACATGATTGCTTTTGTCAAATGGCTCTTGGCTGAAAGTAGAGAATAACAGGAAGATGTTTACTTGTGTTTCATTGACTCTGCAAAGAACACTAGATTGTGTGGGTCATAACAAACTATGGATAGTTTTGAGAAGCATGGGAACTCTTCATTGTACTCATGCAGAACCTGTACCTGGGCTAAGAGGCCTGAGAACAGAACAGGGGCGTCCTGCACGGTGTAAAATCAGGAAAGGTATGTGTGAGGGTCATACCATCTCACCATACCTGTTCAATCTGTAAGATGATAAATAATCAGGGAAGCTGAATTATATGAAGAAGAATGTGGCATCAGGATTGGAGGAAGGTTTATTAACAACGTTCGATCTGCAGAGGACACAACCTTGTTTGCTGAAAGTGAGGAAGACTTGAAGCACCTGCTGATGAAAATCAAGGATTGTAGCCATTAGTGTGGATCACAAGTCAATGTTAAGAAGACCAAAATACTCACAACTGGACCAACAGGTAACATCATGTAAACTGAGATAAGATTGAAGGGGTCAAGGATTTCATCTTGCTCCAATCCATAAACGATGCTCATAGAAATAGCAGTCAAGGGATCCAACGATGCATTGTATTCCGTAAATCTGCTGCACAAGATTTCTTTAAAGATGCTATTTGGGGGATTAAGGTGCATCTGACCCAAGCCATGGTATGTTCAATATGCATGTGAAAGTTGGATATTGAGTAAGGAAGACTGAAGAAACATCATGGCATTTGAACTATGGTGCTGGTGAAGAATATTGGAAGTACCACACACTGCCAAAAGAACAAACATATCTCTCTTAGAAGTACAAGCCAGAATGGTGCTTAGAGGCAAGGATGGTGAAACTTCATTGCGCTAGAACACAAGACCCCTCCTCTCCAGGGGGTTGTGAATTTGTACTGGGCGACATAGACAAGACCAAAATGGTGTGATTTGTGTGTGGGAGAAAAGGGTGCAGTTTTCATCAAGTTAACTGTGACTCATGGTGAACCAAGTCTGCTAGGGTGGACATGTGCTCCATAGGCTTCTCAGTGGTTGATTTTTCAGAAGTGGATTGCCAGGTCTTTCTTCCAAGGTACCTCTGGGCGAATAGTAACCTGCAGTCTTTTAGTTAGCATACAACTTGCTGTCTTACCCAGGGATTCCAGTGTCTGAACAGATACAGGCAAAGGTTACACACAAATGGGGCAGAAGATGTGTGTGTCTGAAAAGATAGTTTTTGTGCTTGTGAGTGTGAACAACTTTGTGTATGTGGCTGAGTATGACTATGTGCCTGTGAGTGTATATTTCTCTGTGTGTGCCTGTGTGTAGAAGTGTCTGTGTGAGTGGATATGTGACCCTCCGTGTGTACCTGTCTATGCGAGTGTCTGTGTGAGTTTGTGTGTGAGAATCCCTATGTGTGTGACAGTGTGCTACAGTCTATGAGGGTGTCTGCCCCTCTGTGCACACCTGTGTGCCTGTGTCATTTGACTATGTGTCTCTGTGGGTGAGTGTGTGCCTGCGTGTGAATGAATGCATGTGTAGGGAAGTGTCTGTGTGTGCTGCTACCTAACTGATGAAGGGGCAGAGACGCATTGAGCCGGATGAAGTAGCCCACTCCGTTTCTACTCCAAAGTCACAGAGGCAATAGCTGTTTCCAAATCCGCTCAGCACTCCCCTCTCCCCTCCTCCCCAAACTCCAACAAGAAAGGCCCTATTTGAAACCCGGAGAAAGGACAGGGTAGGCTCTGGGCAGGCCATCTAGGCTGGGCGGCAGGAAGAGGCCTCAGAACTCAGACGTCTGGCTGCAAGGACCTCCGTGCGGGCCTCCACTGAAGCCCCCTGAGCCCACACCTGCAGGCGGGCTGGGCGGCCGTAAGCCAGGGGCCACTTGCAGCTCCTAAATCTGGAGCGCTTTTTTTTCTTATTTGTTGACGGTAAAGGTAAAGCAGCCAGTGGTTCCGGCCAAGCCAGGGCATTTTCAGAGCAAGGCCGCTCCCGCTCCCAGTCTGTCCCACCCCGGAGTAAATTAATCATCCTCTCCCTTGCTGCCATGCGGAGTCTCCCCTCCAGCCCCGAGGCCTGGCGAAGAGGGTGTTCTCACCCACGCGCTGCTGCCCTTGACCGTGGCTCCTCAGGGCCTCCGGACCTGCAGCTCCTCCACCGCCGGCACTGGCGCGCTGGGCGGCTAGCACTTCCCCAACCTTGGGTCCGCGGGCAGGCGCACACCCTGGGGCTCCCCTGAGGGTCTCCAAGGCGACCTCCTAAACAGTGCTCCGGACCCGCCCCCGGCCGCCCTGGGCCCCTGGTCCTCAGAGCCACCCGCAGATGTAGAGGGATCACTGTCCTGAGCGGCTGGAGCCCAGCGGCGCCCTCGGGTGGTCGCCAGATGGAAGGGTGCCATTTACAGGGCCTAGAACGAGGAGGAAGGACGTGCGGGGCTCGAGATGCGGCCCCTGACCCCCTCGTGCAGTACCCCTTTTCTGAAGATGTCAGAGGGTGGGAAATGCTGCAGCGTCTTGGGACAGGAAACTCAGGCACAGAAAGGAAGTAAAGCCATTCCCCACCTTCCTTGACGGCTTAACACAGCATCCCACCACTTGTGAGTTCAGATGGACTAAATGCTGGCAAACCTGTGTGGAATACTAGGGGGCTTAAAAAAGTTCATGGAAAAAGTCCGTTATCGTTTAATTCACTTGTGCAAGCCTCCTCTTATGTGGCAAGGCCCCCCTTGCTACCCCCCCCCCCCCACCGCCAGTCCCTTCTATACACATTCACACTGGCTTTACTCTTGTATGTTATCATCTGGGGGCCCTTCCTTTGAAACGCTGCTTCCCATAATGTGAATTTGCCAATCATTATCAAGTTCAAGTAGCTTAGAAGTGGAGGCTATTGGAAGTTGAACACGACCCGCCCTAAGAGGCCCTTCCTTCCTCCTCCATGAGACTCCCTCCCAGATCCTCCCCAAACAACCTCAACACCACGGCCCCCCCACCCCCACCCCACCGCAGGGACCCTCCTATAAGGTTCAGTCTTGAGCACAATTTGGGGGTTAGAAATAGGCTGAAGCTGTACTGAGCACCCAGCTAGGAGCCCTGCTGGTGTCAAGGTTAGGCATAGGCTGCTAACTCCCAGGCCAGCAGTTTGACACCACCAGCTTCTCTGCTGGATAGCTTTTTACTCCTGTGAGTTCCAGTCTCAGAGACCCACAGAGGTATTTCTAGCCTGTTCTATAGGGTCACTGTGAGTCAGAATCCACTCAATGACAATGGTGGTTTTTTTTTTGAAACTCCTTAGTGCAGGCCCATGAAGAGCGGGTGGTGACGGCAGCTATAGCTAGCACAAGTCGTACATGAGGACCACAGTACAGCATGTGGTTGTTTTGAGGCACCATTGAGCCCGTTGTGTCTCATAGCCACCTGTGCACAACAGAAAGAAACCCTGCCGGGTCCTTCCCTATGTTCACAATCGTTATATGTGAGCCCATTGTCGCAGTCAGTGTATCAACAATGTCTTGTTAAGTAGGAGGAACGGCGTTTAAGTTTTATGGGCTAACCCCATTCACTCTAAGAGGAGGAAAGGATAGTTTATTGAATATTTACGATGTACTAGGTAGGAATCTTCATGGCTAGTGGGCTGCTAAGCCCAAGGTCAGCACCTGCCAGTTGATCCATGGGAGAAAAAGGAAGTTGGCAGCTCTCATAAAGATCGAAAGGTTTGGACACCCAAAGGCGCAATTCTGTCCTATACTGTTGCTGTTAGTTGCAATCGACTCAATTGTAGTGAGTAGAGTGAGCTAGGAATTGATAAGTATTTGTATTTCACATGCTCAGTAATGTTATGATATAAAATGAAAAACTAAACCCATCACGGTCGTGTTGATTTCCACCCTTGGCGACCCTGTTACAGAGCAAAATGTTCCATTGGGTTTTCTTGGTGGTAGGCTTTCTGGAAGCGGACGTTCAGGCTTTTTTCGTATGCTGCTGGTGGAGGGGTTGAAATTGTCAACGTTTAGGTTAGTCGCTGGGCACAAATTATTTGCATACCCTAATGATCTAATAAAGGAAGCACACTGCCATCAAGTAGTTTCCAACGGCAGTAATCCTAAGTAGGGATGCTGAGACTGGCAATCTTCGTGGGAGCAGACAACCATAGCCTATCCTACATCCCCACCACATTGAGTCAATTCTGACTCCGCAGCCCTGTAGGACTGCCCTGTAGGTTTCCGAGACTGTAAACCTCAGGGGGAGTAGAACACCTCATCTTTACCCCTCCCCTATGGTATAGGAGATACTTTTTGTTGTTGTTGTTGAGGGGAGAGTCAGGTAAGGAACAGGAGAATCACCGAGTAACTTGCTCAATTCAAACCTTAATGGAGCGAGGCTTTTTCTGACTCTTTAAATCCTGTGGACTGTGCCAAATGTTTGCCCACCATACTCACCTTAAACATGTAATTATGTATCCAGACACTGGGGTGCATTTTATGAGGCCAGCAATAAAAAAGGTTCACAACTCTGTTTTATTTTTATACGTTTCATTTATTTTCCAGGAAAAAAAGCCAACAAAAACCACACTTTAAATAATTGATTTAGATAGTTCATCTTTTTCTTATGTCTAGAACTAAACTTTGTGCTGACATGGGAACCTTAGTTGCAGCGACGGCTCTTCATAAATAATTGCATATTCAGAATTTTGTGAAATGAGCGATTGGGCACATTATGAAGGAAAAAAAACTATAAAAGTCATTATTTACAAAAAAGGTGATATGCACTTTTCTAACCTATAAGGCAAGTAACATTAAAATGTTATTTTAATTGTTTTCGACAAGTCAATATTACACATTCGTATCATGATTGGCCAACACAAGGCTTTGCTGACGTCCTGTGAACACATCTGGCCTCTGCTGCTTTTGCTGGGGTTCTCTCGAGCCCCGATGAGAAACAATAAAGCTTTCATCACAGTCTAAGCAGTCATGGCTGTCTCCATAACGCGGACTCTGTTGAATTGCACATGGAGGAAAAAGGGCTAGGTACCAACCATGCTGACTACATTTTAAAGACGCACGTGAGTATCTTTATCCACAATGCCTTTAAAAAATATTTTATGCCTAAGGTGTTATTGTGAAACTTTATATTCAGTACAAAATCATAGAGAAAGAAACCCACTCTATTTGTTTTTTCTGCATAGATCATGGAGAACTCTAAATAAATACCACCAAACTCAGCTTAAAGTACATACTAATAGCATTTTCCTTAAAAATGACCATTGACAACAAAAAGTAATATTTCTCATAGAGATTCTTTTCTTAGCTTCTTTTATTGTTAAAGCACAAGCTATAAAAAGAAAAAAAATCAAGCCTTACATTGCTGCTTACTGGGGAAGGAAATACAAACCTGAGCGTTTCCCTTATACAGACCTTCTGTGCCAGTGAAAACCCAAACTCAAACAAGTCTTTTCAAGGGAAATACTAAAGTGGTCACACAGCTTGAAAAGCCAGCTCTGTCGATTACTGTTTGGTCTGCAATAAAACTGCTCAGATATAAAATTAGCACCAACACTTAGCTGTTTGAAGAAAAATTACCCAGCATCAGTTTTCAACACAGATAGAGAGATGATAGCTATATAGATAGATGTTAGGATGAGGGATGGGAAGAGAGAATTCAAATAGGAACGGATCTCCCTCATGTATATCCATCTAACCAAACAAGAACTAAATAAGTGACATTAAAAGTCAGCACAGCTTTAGGGATTATCATGCTAGTAACTGATAATGAAAAGAAAATTCTGGCTTTGGACCTTGGGGTCAGGGGACCCTCTGATGATCATTCAGTGTATTATTTAAAATAGTTTACAGTGATGTCACATGAATAAAATTAAGCATGTGTTTTGCCAAAAGTGAAAATAGCAATGATGTCATATAAAACTAAATGGGTGAGATGAAATTAGCACTTGTGAGGTTTATTCTTTAATGAACATTATTTTGAATATTTTTGACAAATGGCTTAATATCTATCAGACTCAAAGATTATAAATGAATTAACTTGAACTGATTTGGAGATATGTAAAATGATGTTACAGGCAATTTATACAAGAGCTTTTTAAAAAAGGAATCTTGCAGATTTTGAGTAAAAGTAACTGATTTGCAAAGCAAAGCAAGATGGAACTGGGAAATGCTGATTCAATGGGTGTGTGTGTCCTGCAAAATCTCCACTAAAAAGTACATTCTTTGTAGTTTTAACTAAAATGCATTTGATATTTAAAAACACTGTCAGTACCGCTCTATCAGGGTTCAATTTCTTAAAGCTTTTTAATAACACACCTACCAAGAGTGTTCACTGCAAAGAATTAGGAACATCTTCAACAGTTAGAAACTTCTTGTGCTGATCATATATGTGCCGATCTTAAAGATAATAATTTGAAATTAGAAAATAATTCTATTGATCTATTTTGAATGCTTCAAGCGATAAAATTAGAGTCATGAAGGGACTGCAATGGAATTTAAAAATAGATCCCAAGTACTTTATCAGAGTAGAAGTTCGCTGAAGGGCAAAATGAAAACCCCAAAGGAAAGTGTCAAAGTGTTCCTGGCCATAGCATTTGCCCTCATTGAGAGAGACATAAAATGGTGTTTCAGAAAACTCTTCCACAATTTCTCAAGGGATGCTGAAAGGAAAAAATGCTAATATTTGTTGTCCATGTCCCAGGAGAAGAGACTTCCTTGTAGAACCATGTGTTCTCAGACCACAATGAAAACTCCACAGAAATGGAAGATCTAAACACAGTGTGGGAAATACTGGAAGATAGGAGGGTGAAATGTACAGTTTTCTTTTAACCAGGAAGTAACATTTAGAAATACATTTTCCTTCTGTTGAAACATCTTCTAGAAGGTTGACAATGTGTTTAAGACAGGCAAATACTCTGCTACAGACAGAAGGCAACAATCAGAAATAATACAAACCAAAGGAACCTTAATTCTGACAGTTAAACCTAGAAGATACATTTTTTTATGTCCAGGGTGAATCTGAACAAGGAGGTGCCTCTCTCTCATAGGAACATATTCATTTAGGCCAACAATCTGATATTAAACACAGGGGCAACCACGAGGTGTGGTCACAATCAATTCAGTAAACTAAACCAGAGCTTCCCAAACCGACTTTCCCTACATTCCTCTTTTCAGAAAAAAAATTTTACTCAAAGCCCCCCTGGAAATTAGAAACTTTTGTACCAAATGATAAGTGTTGGTATCTCCTTTTGCAGCCCCCCCCACCCCTCCCTGCGTCGTTCCAGTACCTTCCAGGGGGCAGTATCACCCACTTCAGGAAATATGGCTGACATTTTCAAGAATGATAAATTTTCAATTAGATAATTAAAAAAAATACAACCCTAGCCTGAAGATTACAGAACATCAAAGCCATGACACCAGAGAAAGGCATTGAATAGATAATTGGAGACGTAAATGGACTTCTATCTCGTTTCCTTCAGATATTCCATAGACAGAAAAATATCCTAAACCGGGCATGTTAATTCGTGGGTGAGAAATTGCCTTTAAATATGTCTGCCAAGTGGAGAGAACCTCCAGGAGCTGGGAAAGACCACAGAGCCGCAGGACAGAAGGGTGGGTAGTAAAGGACGATGGGGGTTGGGGGGGGTCCTCAGGACCAAATTTAGTTCAAGGAAACATTCCTTATGTTAAGTGTCTCGTCTATATTTAGAGGTCACACTTTCTTTTTCTTTAATATTTTTATTGACATCTACTGCACATATCTTACAATTTGAGCATTCAATCATATTACGATGACTTGCACAATCATCCACACGTCCCTTGGGATGTCCTGATAAAGAAATCATGCTTCCACCTTTTTAAAATCGCTGACCAGGAAACGATGTAGCAAAATGAGTACATTTCAATTGCATGGGAAATTGCTCAAATGCATTTCTCTTTTGGAAAATAAGAAGCGTAAACACAGAGACACACAGACCTGTACACACCCTCCTGTCCTTAGTTGATAGCTGTATACGGTGTTGCCATTCTATTTGAATTGGCAGCCTGTGGTTACTTCGATAAAAAAGAAGAAAAGGAAAAAAACAAAAGCTATTGGTTCACTTCTTTGGGGATGGGACTAGTCTGTGCTTTTAAAGCACTGAGGTAAAAATCCTACAAAATAACCAGGACCATCTCACACGTTCGTGCTTTGGGTATCCATCCCTTAAAAGGAAAAAGAAACTTTTTTAGGACTGGGGATTTTGAATGAAAATGGCTTGGTAACATCTTTGCCACATCAAGTCTTCTAAGGATGCAAGTGTGAAAATGAGAGGATGGAGTTCCGGCCCTTTGAGACCAAACCAGCTTAACAGGAGAATTTAGAGGAAAAGATGGGAACTTATCTAGAAAAAAGCACCACTCCCCATCTCTTTTTTCCTTCAAGATTGGAGGAAGTAAAATGGACAGCATAGAAGAAAACCAAAATGGTATTTACCTTAAATGCTTAAAATCTAATATAATGTTAGATCCAAGAGGGTCCTTAGGAACCTACCAAGGCAGGGTTTCTCAAAGTTAAGAATGCTTTCCAAAACACATTTCCCCAATCCCTATGCAGGATGTATTCATTCTACAGACAAGTATTAAGATTTACTATCCTCTAGGCTTAGATGGGATAATGGTGACTAAGACAAAACTCCAGATTTCTTTTTATAGATGATGGTTCAAGTAATTCACAAATCATATGTTGAAAAATATAAATTATTTTTAACCATTTTGTTATTAGAGTTGTCCTTAGTTAGATATCACATTTTTATAGTTCTTTTAAACTCAATATTCAAGTAGAATATGCATTAGTAAATTAAACCAAACAGTTTATTTCTCAGAAATGTCAAAATGGTCAAGGGGCTCCCTCCACAGTAAAAACAAAATAACATTATTTTTTCTAGTTGTGCCACTTTGGGCAGTTTAATCTCCATCTCAATGTCATTATTTGTATAGAAGGAATGAACAGGAGTACCTGGAACTTTGGGGTTGATATGATAAAATGAGATGCTATATATTATCTCTAGTGGCAGGTACATGATAAGCAAATATTAATTTTTACTGCTTATCCAACTACTGTGATTATACAACTTATAAAGTTTCAAAAGGTAGGTCTTTCTGAGTAAAGTGGACTCATGGCATTTTGGAGTTGAAGAAATTTTGATAGTTATGCGCTACAGTGACTTCTAAAACTGTACTCTTGGGAGCTCAGGTACAAATTGGGACAGTAACTCATCCATTGCTTTGATCTGCTTGGACTAACAGGATTCCATGTGCAATTTTATTAGAAGAGCATCTACTCTTATGAAAAGCTTGAAGACGATTTCAATTTAAACCTCTCATTCTAAGCATGAGTAATCAAGAAGGGTGGTGCCTTGTCTAAGTCAGGAGCCTTGGTGGTAGAGTGGATTACATGTTGGGCTGTGAATCACAGGGTTGGGAGTTCAAAAATCGCCCAGCCTCTCTGTAGAGGAAAGAAGAGGCTGTCTACTCCTGTTAGGATTTACAGCCTCAGAAACCTGTAGTTCTCCTCCATCCTGTCGGGCAGCTATGGGTCTGAATCAGCTTATTGGCAGTGGATTTGGCTCATTTTCTGTTGTTCAAATCACACAGAAAGAGCTAATATAAACTGACTGGCTTCTTTGAAAAGCAAGTGTGGACCATACATTAAAATCATGGTCTATATTTTCTATAGAAATACTTTGGAGACTTACAACCGAGTGAAAATACAAAGAGACAAAAATCTAACATCCTCAAGTTTGACTTTCTGAGAGGTTCTTCTCTATTAATTTGAAATCATTTGAAATGCGGACATTCTTTATTTGCAGGTAAAATATAGTCTCAAATGCTCTATGTAAAACTTTCCTTTTGGCTGTTGATGCAGATTAATTCTTGGTAATTATAAATTTAAATTAAGATAGAATTCAGAGTATTTCATAAGAATTTATTCTTTAAAAACTTCATGAAAATATGGAATTTATTGGAGAAGATATAATTTCCATGTTGCTTAAAAAAGAAAAGCAAAGCAGTTAACAGTCATAATTTCTGTCTTCCTAGAGTAGAACCTTTTAAAATCATAATGTTCAGGAAATGGTGCTGCTAGTTTAACCCCTGGTACTGAAAATCATCTTCATATGTACTACTTCACTTTTTCTAATGTAGGAGCTGGTAGTGACCAGGGTTAATATGTATGTGATTATTGAAGACTCTTGCATTGCCTGTAATAATTTTTCTGAACCTGAACTCTCATTTTACAGTACTATGGATACAGAAGATTATAACCTGCAAGACTGAAAGTAAACCAAACCCCAGAATCTAAATCCCTGATATGAGTTTATTATTATTTGAAGAGATAGACTTTTTATTGATGCTCTGGCTATTCAAGGTGTAATAATTTTGAACTCACTGATTCCCACTCTATTTTATCATGAGGACTGATGAAAGGAATTAAAAATGCTTTCATAATTTCACATTTAATTCCTGGAAACAGCTGGATAATGTTAGGGGATAGTGTAATTTCAATTTCATTTCTACAGTATCTGCGGTGGGGGAGCCGTTGTATAGTTCAAATACTAATTAGGTCTAGAATTATATCAAATAAGAGATCAAAACATGAGAACCAGTAGTATCTACGCAGTTTACTGTGATTTTTGTTAATACCCGAGCTGCTCATGAGTTGGTTATGTAAGCGTTTTATATCCATATGCTGGACGTCTCTCAGTTTCCATGGTTTCCTTGCAGTGTCACCAATTTCCCCATGTTTCATGGGAAAATTAAAAGTTTGGATCTTCAGTTTTGGCTTCAAAATCGAATTGCACATCTTTATTAAAAGTGAGTACATTAACTAGTTTTTTCAAAGAAACCTTCAACTGAGACCACTTTGGGGTGCCAATGGAGAGTTCCTGGAAATGTCTCTCTGATCTAGTAATAAGCCAACTGAGAGCTTGCTGGAAGAGTAAGCACCCTTCCAAGGTAAAGCAGATCATTTTGAACATTCTCTTGGTAATAAGCACTCAGTTTGGCCTGGAAATTTGAATTTTTGAAAGTTCGCTTGTAAACTCTGGTCAGTCACAATCGTATTTTCAAAGACTTAATTTGACTCTAAAATTTAAAGGTATGGTTTCCTTGCCAAATATGAATATAAAGTAAAGCTTAGCAACTGATGATCGGTATAACAACGTAAGAACTGGAGGTTTTGAATTGTTGCTAAGCGATGTCAAGTCAGGGCATAGAGACCTTGCACCCATCAGAATTAACCCTGCCCCGTTCTGGACCGTCCTCACAATCCGGGCTAGATTTGAGTCCGTTGGTGAAGCCACCGTTTCAGTACATCTTGCGAGGGTCTTCTTCTTCACTGACCCTCAGCCAAGCATGCTGTCTTTCTCCAGGGACTGGAGTACATGACACAAAGTCGCACCATTGTCCCTTCTGTGGAGCATTCTGGTCTGGCCATCCATAGTCTGTTATACATTATTCTTCACCAATATCATAATTCAAAGGTATCATTTTTTCTGGGGTCTTCCTTATTCATTGTCCAGCTTCCTTATGAAATGAGGCAATTTAAATATCAAGGTTTGGATCAGGTACACCTTAATCTTCAAAGTGAGACCTTTCATTTTTAACACTTTATAGAATTTATTTTTTCAGCAGCAGCAGGTTGCCCAAGACATTGCCTTGCTTGGTTTCCTGACTGCTGCTTCCATGAGCATTGTTGTGGATCCACGTAAAATGAAACCCATGCATTTGGTAACCCAGTCCAAACTAGGGATTGGTTTAATGTAAAACTAAGCTCGATAATGGAAAGGACACTCATGTTTTTAGATTTGGGGCCTGGGCGATGTGCCTCTGCTCTCTGGTCTCCCACATTGGAGGGCTGGGCAGGTGGTGACCGTTGTGATGATGTCTTGCAGCAGTAGACTCATAGCGTCACTTCATGAGAACTCACTTCTCGATTCCCCAAGAATGGCAAAGAGTTACAGTTTTAGCCAATGAATCTTAATAAAGAATATTTCGTTCACTCAAAAGGAAGTTTATTGCACAATACATGTGAATAGTATTAATTGATAAAGCTTATAGTTTTCCTTCCCAAGTGGTAGAACTGATGATAATCAAAATTATCCTTCTGTACCTAAACAGGGGACTAAAATGTACTGTTTGGATGTCTATGGAAAAAGAGGCAGACATGAGGTGCCAGTTCCTGGCTTGGGTGGGGAGGGCAATTATTCAGAGTGACTGCACAAGTTGTGAACCAGTCCAAGGACAGAAAGCCTTAAAATCCCAATTTTGGTTTTCGTCTGACTGGTTATTACTCAACAATCTCCACCTTTAATGTGGAGAGAGGGAGAAGTAGTTAAGACTTCATCATCTTCTTTTCTCTTGGTTATAATTTCATATACTTAAACTTTAAATATGAATTGCTTTCCCTTTTTACACAAGTTATAAAAATAAGAGGCCCTGTTTACACAGTTTGCATTTTTATGAAATTTGCAGTTTGAAAAAAAAGCTTTTTAAAAAGTGGTAATGCTTTTCTTTGAATATGCTGTAACCTTTAGAATTTTTTTTCCTGAAATAGTTTCTGAATTTAAACCAACTAAATATTTGAAGATAGAATTTTTATTTAGTACCAGCGTAAGACATACTAAGGACTAAATAAAAGTTAAGGGTTTTTTTTCTGGTTCCACTGAATTTTCTTTGTATGTGGCACCCCCTTTATGACAGCCTTCAATATAATATTTAAATTTTATATATTGACAAAATGCAATCTACCTCTGTAAGCATTGTGCCATTCAACAGGACTACTATTAAATTTACATACCACAGTTTAAATTACATCCATGTCAGGAATGGTAAAATGCTAAAACTCAGGGTCTAACTGCCTTACTGGATGGGTACAATTTACAAATACAATAATTACATTTTAAAACCATTAACAATATTACACCTAGAAGTAAATACTGTACGACTGGTCATCACGGTATTGTGTGAGGGACGTCACTGCTGAAAGTCGTGGACATTTCAAGCAGCTTTATCCCAAGTGCAGATTTGGGTTTGCTTTCATCGAACTGAAATGAAAACCAGGTTCTCATACAACAGTCCTCCATATTAATGAGTTTTCCAAATCCTTGTGTAACATTTTATTAGTTATCTGCCAAGTATTTTCCTGCAAAAGAAAATGACATATTAACAGGTTACCTATCAATAATACAATTATTATACAAGCAACATGTATATTCTTCCTGTCCTTCTCCCTTGGAACCAAATATTGCCAAGTTGGAGGTGGCCTACATTCACACAAGGGAGCTTCAAAGAGGTCACAGAAAACTGTAGTTTAAAGGTAAAGCCCCTTGCAGAGACAACAGCAAATATAAGCACTAAGTACCTGCAAATGTGAGAACTGAGGGCTTGTTTTACGTTGAGAAAGAGCGCACTGTATGGCTCTGAATGATGCCAAGTTTGAGGGAGGAGACTTCTGCAAACCTTCCTGATTTCATGAGAGTGGTGGTTTCTATAGACTGATCACTGGACCGGAAGCATCAGCGTCTCCTGGGAACTTGTTACAAATGCACATTCTCTGGTTCCAGCACCGAATTGGTTAATCAGAAACTCCGTAGGGAATGCCCAGGAATGTGGGTTTGAACAAGCTTCCAGGTAACTCTGACACATCACCCAAATTTCAGAAAGACTGCCATGGAGGCCCCGTGAGTGAGTCAGGTTGGATGGGATGCTTGTGAAGGAGAAGCACAGCAAACCTGGATCGACTGGGCTCGGCTTGATTTTCAGGAAGCAAAAATGCATGTGTTGTCAGATGGCCTGCTTTTCAAAAAAAAAAAAAAAAGCTTGACATGCAACTTGTTGCTGTTGTTGTGAAATCAACTATTTCTAAAAAGTTTAAATTACTCTCTCTACTCTCGTCAGTAAACCCGGTTGTAAGTTTCTATTAAGGTGAAAATTAGATCCTGGTAGGTCTCAGCTAAGTCTGTCCAAGTCTAAAATCTATAAAGCACTGGTGAATAACAAACTATCAAGCGGGAGATAAATGCACAGGCAAAAACTATTCCTTTTGCTTGTCAATATGAACAAAGCCTAAAGATTGCCCTCCCTCAGCAGGTGGTTGTGCACCACGGTCATTGCTGACTCAGAGAGCGGAAGTGGCAGAGGAGAACTGCCCTTCGGGCTTTCTAGGCCGTAATCTTGACCGTAATCTTGACCGGAGCAGCTTGCTAGGAGTTTTCTTCTGTGAAACTGCTGGAAGGTTTCAACAGCATCCAAATGCTTAACCATTGTGCTCAGAGCTCCCCTCAACCTCAGTATACACATCTGTTACAAGGGAACCACTGATCACATTAAGAAAAATAAAATATACAGGGAATCCAGGGCGGATGAGCCCTACAGGACCAGTGGTATGAGTGGTCAAACAGGGAGGGTGGAGGGAGAGTGGGTAGGAAAGAGGGAACCGATTACAAGGAACTATATGTGACCTCCTCCCTGGGGGACAGACAACCGAAAAGTGGGTGAAGGGAGAAGTCGGACAGGGCAAGATATGACAAAATACCAATTTATAAACTATCAAGGGCTCATGAGGGAGGGGGGAGCGGGGAGGGAGGGGAAAAATGAGGACCTAATGCTGGGGGTTTAAGTGGAGAGAAAATGTTTTGAGAATGATGTACAAATGCGCTTTACACAATTGATGTGTGTATGGATTGCGATAACAGTTGTATGAGTCCCTAATAAAATGTTTAAAAAAAATGAAACAAAAAACAAACCAAAAAAAAGAAAAATAAAATAAACAAGCAACAACAGAGAGAGATCCAGGGGTCTCCTAATGACTAATCCATTATCCTATTTATACCTTATTCAACAATTGGCTTATTTTTAACTGAGATGGAAAATGGAGTTGAGTGGGGGAGAAGAGGGCAAAAAAAGCACAATCTATTTATGGTCACAGAAGAGCATCTAAGGCAATCTTACTTTTGCAAATGAAGATATCTTACTCACTTACCTGCAGCAAACCTTTTCTTGATGAGTGAAAACCGATACCCTGCTCCCACAAGCTCAATGTCGCAGCCAGAAAGGGTGCTGCCTTCACTGGTGAACTGCACAACCAGCGGGGAGGGTTTGCTCGGGCCGTCAGATAACTGGAACCTCGCCAATAAAGACCCCACTCCTAAAACAAGAGTATGACAGTCCTCCTGGAGAGCGGTAGGTAATCTCGGAACTTCTATTCCGACGTTAACCTACATGACCTGGCCAATAGAAGTTGCATGTGTTTCACTGACAAAAATGATAAAGGGTCAAATTATCATTAAATATCATGAGTAACTTGTTTGTTTTTTAAGTGCTGTACTGCATGTAATTCAGCAAACGGCCCATCACGATCTGTGGGCCTGTTTCTTGGAAAGCCGTTTATGCTCTAGTGAATGATGGAGAGCAGGAGGAAATGAGAGGGGGCCTGGGATGGGCTCCGGGCCGTCACACCCATGAAGAGCTCATCTGTCTGCTACTTGGTAGAAAAGGAGAAAATGAAGAGGGAACGGTCTGGATTTGAGAGTGATTGAAGAATGATCTGCCTTTCTTGGCTGAAATGACTCAATGCAAACATGAAGCACAATCTCCAGCTTGTTTTTAGTGCTAAGTGGATTTTGGTTACTAGACTTTGGTTACTAGAAAGTCTATTTTGGCTCATATATTATGTAAAACTAGCCCCGTGATAACATTACCTCCATTTTCTGACTTCTGAGAGATATCGGGGATCTTCCACAATATTCTTTGTTGTTCAGCATTCCTAAAAATAAAATGGGAGTAAGACTTTTCCCTATGCCAAAGCTTTGTTTAATGGATGCCATGGATCCTGGCAATTTAAAAATGATATAGTACATATATACCTTCTCTCCTTTCCCTTTCCTTATTGTGATTAGCCACAACGCTGGCAAAAAACATGTAGAGACCAATGAAGAATTAAACAACAACAACTTGGGAACACATCTCTCTACTGGACTGATAGATGGAAAGTGTTAGTAAGTCAATTCAAGTAATTTAAATGGGGGTTGTATCATATGGCTGATAATTACCTGTAAACATGGTTCTATGTTTTTGCTTCTGACAATATGTGAACGCTCACAGGTTCTTTCTAGGAAAATAAATACTTCTTAGCAGATGCTCTCGACACTCTGTATCCATTTAGTATGAGCTGTCATTGCTTCTCAAGCATGCCTCCTTAGAGTCCAGAGGCCAGACAAACAAAACCATTTCCCAGACTCCCTTGCCACTAGGGCTATCGTGCAGATTAGGCTCTACCAAGGACGCTTTCCACCACTCCCATGAGGCTCTGCAGTCTTGGAAACTCGCAGGGGAAGGTGAGCGCTGTCCCACAAGGTCACCATGTGTTGGGATCGACTTGATGGCAGAATGATAGGAAGACCATGAGATTCAGACGGTGGGAGGGAGGCAGAGGCTCTTTTTGTTAGTTTTTCTTTGTTGAGATCTGCGAGCCAGAACCAGAGATGTGGAGACCTTCTACACTGGTGTTTTAGCTCAGTCTGTAGTTTTGTGGGTGCTGAGAAAAAGTTAAGGCTGTGCCAGCAGGAGCTTTCTGACCCTTGGCTCATACTTACGGTGGATCATTCTTGAATTCAATAGTTCCACTGACCACTTTCAAATGTTTCTCCTTTCCCTTTGCAGCTCTTTCGAGGACCAGTTCTTCAGTGTTCTGGAAACATTCTTGGAAGTTCAGCCTAAAGCCTGTTCCTCTAACACTTCCCCCATTTAGGGAAGCATCTTAAGCCCTATGGGAAACCATTATCTGTTTAAAATCACTACCTGCTTGCTGCTGCTCAAGTGCTGCCATCATTGCTAAGAAGACCTTCCCCACAAGGGGCCCTCTAGAGAAGAGAAAGGGGACGGGTGGCTCCTTACCAGACTGCAGGTGGAAGCACAGCCTGCAGCTTGGTGACTCCTCCATCGATGGGGACCAGAAACTGCACGTTGTTGAGGGCCACCGCGGTTGTCATCGCATCTGTGTTGTATTTGTAATCTATGCGCAGGTCTGTGCTCACAGGCTCACAGCGCCAATTCACTGCCAGGTTCAGAGGCGTGGACTGAATGCCCTGGGCTGACACCTTGCCAAATAATAAGACAGAGAATATGTAAGCCTGGACCACCAATAAGAAACAAACCCAGAAGTTATCTCCGTTGGATTGTTCTTAGCAACATTTCTGAGTGTTGTATATGCTATTCACAAGTGAAATTTCACTGAAAATTGCTGGGAAAGGGACATGCGAGCATCCTGGGGGTTAAGAAAATCTGCCATGGGTCAAAAGCTTCGAACTACCACTGAAAACCTCTACAGCACTTTCTAGTTTACAATGCACTTTACAACTGCTCAGAAAAAGCCAAACCCACTTCCCCGGAGTGGATTCCAATTCATTGCAGCCCCACACGACCTCACCTTCCTCCCTCAGAGAAGCTGGTGGATTCAAACTGCTGACCTTGCAGCTAGCAGCCCACACATAACCCACTATATCACCAGGGTTTCTACCCAACTGTGGCTCCTACCTTGTCCATTTGGATAAATGCTACCTATCACACTATGTGTTAGAATCAACTCTCAAACACTGAATTCCTGGGTGGTGCTAACAGTAAAACACTGGACTACTTCCTATCTTAAAATTTGACAGTTGAACCCACTTGGTGATGCCATAGGATAAAGGTCTAGCCCTGGGCTTCTGAAGGTTATAGCCACGAAACCCCCAGGGCACAGGGTTCTCTTTGGAAACACAGTGTTGCCATGAGTCAGAATTGGACTCAATGGCCCCTGGAGCATTAACATTCCCAAGACATTTGCTTATCACCATAAAGCAGAGTTCAATGAAGGTGGTCGTTAATCCTACTTTGGGATTTACCCAAGGACAGACTTGACCCGTGGCTATCTGAATAGACTCCACAGTTAAAAGCAGCATGTCTTTCAAATCAACAGGGAATTTCACCCAGGAAAATCCAGGTTTGAGGAATGAACACAGTCAATCTCACCTAAAGACACTGATATGCTTGAATTCTGGGTGTCACAGTGGAGATTGGACAAGGTTACTATCTCGTCAATGCTCACTGTGAGGGTGACGATAGCTCTAGAAGATTCTCCTTTCACAAGTACACATACACTATAGGGGACTAGAAGGTGCTGTCTATGTCCATGGATTTTTATTCATGAAGAGGAGGTTTTTACTGATTCTGACTAATATAAATAACTATTGATTGGCTCAGACATGCCTACACATATGGCCACCACGGGGAAGGGTCCTGAGAGCCAGATGGACTCAGGAGGTGGGGGGAGAGGGTGTGTGTGTGTGTGTGTGTGTGTTGCTACAGAAGCAAACTCAGAAAACGGGGTCATCTGTATAATGACAGAAATGGGTTTGGATGCCAATTTTAGTTAGATGACCATTATAGTAGTTTTCAAACTTTAAACATTTTTAGCAGCATAATCTTTTCTGAAAATGAACTTCTATTCCGAAACTCATTATTTTGAATAGACCAAAAGCCTTCCTTTTTCTGCACCTGTGCTCAGGAGTAGTTCTCAAATTGGCAATAGTTTCTCCACCGAGGGAGGTGATTGGATATATGAGTTTTTAAAAAAAATGGTTCCAATCACTGGGCATTGCTACAGATGGCCGGGGACTCAATGTGTTGTGATCTGAGGGCCAGAGAAACCCAAACTCACTGCCATTGAGTCGATTCTGACGCATAGTGACCCTGCAGGACTAGAGAGAACTGCCCTTGTGAATTCTCAAACGCTTTTGGTTTTCTGAGACTCTGACTTTACGAGAGTAGAAAGCCACATTTTTCTCCTGTGAAAGGACTGGTGGATTCTAACTGCTGACCTTGTGATTAACAGCTCAAAGCATAACCCACTTCCTCCAAACACTAGTTGTGCCCCATCTTCATTCAGTTAAGAACATGTTGGGCTATGATCTTCAAGGTTAGCAGTTTGAAACCACCACACTGCTCCCAGGATGAAAGATGAAGCTTTCTACTCCTGTAAAACTTTACAGTCTTAGAAACCCACAGGGAGAAGTTCTACCCTGTCCTGGGGGGTCACTATGAGTCAGCATTGACTGGATAGCATTGAGTTTATGTTTTTGGTTTTAATTAAGTTGTAAAAAGCACATGATAAGAATAACAAAAACAATACTCAAAGGGCTTCCTCAGAGCAAAGTTTGAAAAGAAGTGTTCTAGGACTACATACCATTCACAAAATAACTTGAAATGCATTTGGCTATTAGCATTTTAAGAAGCAGTGCAATGGTTAAAGTGCTTGGCTACAAATGATTGGTAATTTGAACCCACCCATCTGTTACATGGGAGAAAAGAATGGTGATCTGTTTTGATAGAAATTACAGCTGAGAAAACCCCATGGAGAAACAGTACCCCAAGGTACTGTGAGTGACTGATTGTCTCTCTGGCATCCCACAATAATATTAACATCCTGGAAGGAAGCTCTAAGTAATGCCAATGGTTAATGATCACTACTGTACTGCTCTGGGTATCTGTTTTCAAAAGGTCCCAACCTTAAAAGCCTGATGGAGCAGTTCCATCCTGTCCACTTGGAGGCCACGTCAGTTGGGACTGACTTAATGGACAACTAAGGATTAACAAGAAGCATTATACAAGAAGAGTGAAATACCAAGATAGATATGATTGTTATTCTTATTTGCAGATAAGGCAACCAAGGTTTAGAAGATTGATTAAGGTGCTCAAAGGCGTATGGAAATCAGGAAGTAGATCGGCTTACTCATCATTCAGTCTTGCCTATACTTAGTACTTTCAACCAAAGCTGCTCAAATTGTGGGTTGTGTACCCCTGTGGGGGTTATGCAACTGACTGTGGTGTTCTTCTCAAGCCCACATGGCACATTCTTGAACACATGCTGGGACACAAGTTGAATCTGTGTAAATTCAAGCACATAGAGATCATACCGACTTCCCTCTCTGACCACTATGCCATACGGCTGGAAATCAACAAAAGGATGATTAAGAAACAAGGGCAAACAATTGGAGGCAGACTAACTATTGCAAAAGGAGTGGGTAATGGCCCAGAACAGAGATGAAATTAGGAAGTTTCTAGAAACCAATGAGAATGAAAATACAACATACCCAAACCTTTGGGACACAGCAAAAGCAGTCATCAGAGGAAGTTTGATAGTGATAAATACACACGGGGGAAAAAAGAAGAGAGATTTATGATTGATATGCCAGCACAAAAATTACAGTAGTTAAGCAGAGTCAACAGGACAATCCCAGTAATAGCAAAAGGAAAGAAATTATAAAAATCGGGGCTGAGATTCATGAGAGGGAAAACAAGAAAACTATGAAAAAAATTAATGCAGCTAAAAGTTGGTTCTTTGAAAGGATTAACAGAACCAACACGTCACTAGCAAACCTAACCAAGGAAAGGAAGGACCAAATTTCAATAGCAAGGATGAAGGTTGAAGCAGGGGACATTACAATGGACCCTAATACGATCAAAAGGATAATTACACAGTACTACGAAGACCTGTACTCCAATGAATTCAACAACTTGGAAGACAGGACAAATACTTGGAAGAACAATACCTCCCTAGACTATCCCAGATGGATGTCAAGAATCTCAACAGACCCATAGCAATAAAAGAAATAGACACAGTTACTAAGGGATTACCAACAAAAAAGTCCACCGGGCCAGATGGTTTCACAGGAGAATTCTACCAAGCATTCAGGGAAGAACTGACACCAATCCCACAACATTCCTCTGGTTCTTTAGTGCTTACCCCCTGCCCCTGCCCTCACTATCATGAATCTAACTCTACCTTACAAATCCTGCTAGACCAGAGCATGTACATGGATACAGATAAGAGCTCACAAGATAGGGGATCCAGGACAGATAAACCCCTCAGGACCAATAATGAGAGTAGAGATACCAGGAGGATAAGGGGAAGGTGGGAGAGAAAGGGGGAACTGATCACAATAATTGACATATGACTCCCTCCCAGGGGGATGAACAACAGGAAAGAGGAGGCAGGCAGAAGTCAGTGTAAGACATGAAAAAAAAATATAAAAATTATCAAGGTATCATGAGGGAGGGAGGGGGCAAAAATGAGCTGATACCAAGGGTTCAAGTAGAAAGAAAAATGTTTTTGAAATGATGATGGCAATATATGTAAAAATATGCTTGACAAAATGGATGTATGTTTGAATTGTAATGAGCTGTAAAAGCCCCCAGAGAATATAAAAGGCTTGGTTAGCATTAAAGATTCTCTCTCTCTCTCCACGTGGACCACCAAGTGGGGCTGAGGTGAGCATGCTTCCATGAAATGTGTCTGACTCCATTTATTTCTATATTTCTACTCTATCTCTCATGTTCTCTATGACTTTGCTATAATCTTTACTTATTATTACTGTATAATTGTGCCCACTGGACCCATAATGATGTGCTAGGGGCTTCCCCCTGGCATATTATTTTTCCAGTAGTTTTATTGATATAAAATTCACAAATCATACACTTCCATAGTTAAGTTGCTTTTAACAAAAGTTGTATGTATATCATCGCCATCAATTCCAGTGTATCCTCTTCCTCCCATATTCATTACTTACTCCCCAATTTCTCTCACATCTGCCCCCCATCACCAATAAGCTATTAAATTATCAGTTATTGTCTCTACACATCTGCTCCTTCTGTGCTTCATAAATTGGGAAACATAACAAGAAAAAACAAAAACAGGAAAAAAATGAAGAAAGAAAAGACTACCAGCAATATTAAAATAAGCCAAAGAAAAATTTTCTGTCAAGGAACAAGTGAGAAATCTTTAAATCTAGAGCAGATTTCAGGTTGGGTCAAGAGGGAGGTCAACTGACCAGGTTTCATATCATTCCATAGTTCCACCCACCTCAATCTCCGTCTGATAATAAAGCTATTTGTGTCCCTCACTATGGCCAGAGGGATCTGCCAGAGGTTTAATCAGACTAGGTACTCTGCAGATGGATTTTGGGCTCCCGCTGTCCTGCACAGCCTTCTATGAATTGAGAGTCCACAATTTAAACTCTGATGATTTTCTGTTCATCATATTTGGATTTTGTTATTGTCATGTTTGGATCACATGGTCTGGCGTGCTTCTTCCATGGGGATTTAGTTGACATCTCACTTAGGTGGCTGCTTTTTCAAAAGCCTTTTGTTCAAATTGATAGCCGGGCACCATCTGCTTTCTTCAGCACACTGTGCTGTAGTACCCTATCTTCAGTGATCATTGCATGCAGGTGAGTATCACGCAGATAGGCCATGCCATAGTAACTGTTCTTGGTTGGGGCTAGAATTCAGAGGGAGCCCAGACAGAATCCATCTGTTTGTCCATGGGTTATATATGACTGGTTTACTTTAGAAGTCTTACTATCATTTTATGACAAAAAATATTATCAATCATCCCCCCTGGGTAGAAGGTGATTCCATTGATAACATCAATAATTTGTCCAATAGCATAGAATGTAAGATACTAAGATACTGTTGAGAAAAGGAGGCTATGTAAATATAGTCCATCTACAAACCACAATCCGTGAGTTGCTGGGAGACCGTGACTCTTTACAGGAGTGGCTCACCTGTCTTTCTTCAGAGGACTGGCTGGTGGTTTTGAACTGCTGGCCTTGCAAACTCCAGCCCAATGTGTAACCACTATGCCACCAGGACAACTTTAGAAGTGTAAAGCAGTAATTAAATATGCTTAAACACGTTAAGCAGAAAAGTTAAAAAGTTAAATCACGGTAAGTGTATTTTCTATTACACTTGTATAATGTATTAATTACATTTGTATGATGTAATCTATTTTACAAGACTTCAAAGTTCAGATGATAAAGCATTATATTTATTTGCATTTTTATAAAAGGTACTATTATATTGATCACCTACTTGAATGGCTTCCTTCCAGTGATTTAAGTAAGCAGGTGTCAACCTGCAGGGTGCATTAGAGTTGCTGGAGCGCTTACAGAGAAGCACAAATGGCTGGGTTTCATCCTGAGCCTATTAAATCCGAATGTATGTGGAACCAATTAAACCTGAATGAGTGTGTGCAGAGGCCAGCAGTTATATTTTGGTGCCAATTCAGTACAAGCATTTGCTTACGAGCTCGTTGGTGATCACGCAGTGTAATGAGGTTTAAACCCATTGATTACTATTAGATTCTAAAAAAATAACAATTTTGTCTGCTCACCTGAAGAAAAATAATGTGAACATATTTAATCACAAGCATTACAATACATTGAAATAATCTAGATGATGCATGTGGCTAGTAATTGACGAGATAATCAGGAGTTAGAATTTGTATTATTTCTTGCCTTTGAAATTTTTTTTGGAAATAGGCATATTTGTTAGATCAGTAGTAATCTGAGATAAGGGAAATCTTAGAAACAAAAATGAAGTGCTCATATTTCAATACTGTACTGTATCATAGCTTCTTCTAACATAAAATGGTTTCTTAAAATAAATCTTACTACAACTGTACCCTAGGATTATTACACTTGAAAAAATATGCTATTTTTATATTTAACCATTAAGATAACAAGTTTTGTGAAGGACGTTAAATTCAATAATATTATTAAAATTAATGTGATCTAATTTTCAATAATTGTAATCTTATGTGATGTAGTCTTCTGCAACTTCATTTTTGTAGCATGTTTATTTAATGTTTTCATCAAATTTCATGAATTTTCAACTAATAAGGATAGGTATAAATATTCCAGTTATAAGTCCTCTATAAAGTTTTCAAAAATTTTTTAGTATAAATGATAGATTTTAAATACAGCTATGTGTTGCATAATATCTGTTCAGGTAATGTTTAGACAGGTATCCATCTAAGGACTGGTAAGGTTATAGCAGAATTCAGAAATTATAACCAAAGAATAGGATATAGTGCATATGACTGATAAGTTGTGCCTGTTTGCTTTTACAAATCTTAAGATGTACCTCTAATTTTTAATATAATAGGCTTTAGTGGGCTGGTCTGTAACTAGGGGTTGTACATAAATTGGATAGTTGTAATATCACTGTTGCCTATAATAATCACATGATGGTCAAATCAAAATCTATTTTGCAGATTTTATCATTGATGTTAAGCAATGTGTGACTAATACTAAAAGAGATGTTATTTCACTTAATTTTATACATTTTAATATAAATTTGTAATGCATAAATCTGTAATCAGACATCCTGATCATATAAATAGACTTACCTGATATTTGAGCATATCCACATTATAATACGTAGCCTGAGGTTTCTGTTCAGACACTTTCTTTAGATGAGTCATCAAATTTGGCATGTTTACCCAGAATTCCTTGTTATTGGCATCATTTTGGGTATTATCGCTATTGTTTTCGGGGGTGGGGGGGGAGATTAAGTAACATTTTATTAAAAAATCAAATGTAAACCACACCAGGAGTATTTTAGCAAATGGATAGCTAATATCTGCATCTGTCTTTGACAATTCTTAGAGATTACATATTAACAGGAGTACAGTTTTAGTACAAATGCAATTCTGAATAATATGTTACATTAATAGTTTAATACCCATGGGTAGCTATTGCTACTCAGTAATATTAACCAATTTTGATGGTAATTGGCTGATTTTCAGAGTGAATTATTTATTAAGCCAAATGTAATGGCCGTTACTACATCAGCAAATGTTTTATCTGAATTAGTCAGTTAATGCAATCAGAGAGCTAAGTACATTGATTTTCTTTTTAAATGAGTTGAATAGTAGTTTCTCAGTAGCTATGGAGTTAACTAATTTGGCCAAATGCAATTATAGTCTTTGTCATCAACTAATGAGAAAAGGGCAACCCTAAAATTACCCTGCTACCTTTCCAGCCTCGTTCACCAGCCAGTCAATTCCAGCTGGTGATGCCTCTCCAGCATGGGGGAGCACTGCCCTATAGGGCTTCTTAGTCTGTACATCTTTCCCAACGCCAGTGGCCTTATCTCTCTCCTGTGGAGCACTTGGTGGGTTCAACCCCCCCCCACTTTTTAAAAAAAATCATTTCACTGGGGGCTCGTACAACTCTTATCACAATCCATCCATACATCCATTGTGTAAAGCACATTTGTACATTTGCTGCCATCATCATTCTCAAAACATTTGCTTTCTACTTGAGCCCTTGGTATCAGCGCCTCATTTTCCCCCTCCCTCCCCCACTCTCCCTCCCTCACGAACCCTTGATAATTTATAATTATTATTTTTTCATGCCTTACACTGTCTGATTCTCCCTTCACTCGCTTTTCTGGGGTCCAACCTTTCAAACCTTTGGGTTAGCAGCAGAGTGCTTAACCCACTGTCCCTGTTTAGCGCGGTGATATGAGGTGCTTCAAAGAGTTTGTGGAGACATGGATTTAAAGATGATGGGTTTTTTTCTCCCATGAACTTTTTGAAGTCCCTTTGTATTTAATTCAAGAGTCACTAAGTCATAAAAAGTCATATCCTCAGAAGGTGAACCTGGATTTAAATGGTAATAATAGAACCAGTTAAAAATAGAAAAATAGGGTTCAGTCTTGAACCAAGGAGTTTTCTATTCTTCTGAAAGTCATCAGCTTCGTTCAGAGGCCTGCCTTCAGATCACTGACACAGTCCATCTTGTGGATGTCTGTCCTCACTGACAGAAACCATGGGCATAAAGCACCCTGCTCATTTCCCACCTAGTGAGGAAACTGAGGCCCCATGTGACTAAGTAAGTTGACAGCCAGTTAGTTACTGGTAGTACAGAATAACCTGTTTAATACAGAAATAGTGACCATGCTTTCAATGAGCACCTCATATGTACTAGCACTCTTCCTGATGCATAAGAAATTATTTTATCAAAATCTATCCTGTGAGGGGAGAATCGTCCTCATGTTCAAAGATGAGCAAACTTATTTATAAAAAAAGAACATTCGAGTTTGAGAGGAGGGCAGGAACAAAAGCAGAACAAAGGTACTACTCAACTACCAATGTCTACCTCTCTTCTAGACACAAAGTGCTCAAGCCCACACATTTCTATGAATTTGTGCAAAGTCATATTTACCAGCAGAGAAGTTGGGGATTTGGCAGGACGTGTTCTAACCTGCTGAAATTCACCACCCGAAAAGTCAGAGCTGCTGGGGATGGGTTGTTGGCAAAGTGTCTGGTGATGCCAGCAGGAAAGGACAACACCATCTCCCCGGTGATCTTCACGATGCATCTGGCATATCGGAGCACAGAGGAAAGAGAGGACCTCAGGTTAATAAGTTGTGAATCAAAACAGTTGTATACAAGTAAAGACATGTGGGATGACATTAAACAACACAAGAGCTGAACAGAAAATGCTGATGATTCTACTCTTAACTATGAAATCATTCTCTCACTTCTTTAAGAAATCAATGGCTTGTTTTAACACCTACATTTAAAAAGTGGCTATTTTGTTGAATGTGTTTTGACTGTGAGAGGAAATGGCAGTTCTTTCTGTGTAAGTCATTACAACTAACCCACCTTACAAACAGACTCGTTTTCCCTGTTGGCTTGTTCCCATTTTAATGTCTGACTCTTTGGCAAAGCCCTTGAAGATTTTAACTGCACACCATCACTCCACACTGGAGCCTACTTTAGCTGTGTGAATAACATAAACAATGCTTCTAGCATGTTCTCTCATGCACTCTTCAGACAAAGTCCTTGTGTCCCACTTTGCTAGCTGTTCATTTCATTAACTTGACCATGTGGTCAAAAATGTTTGAATCAGTCATATAGGTAAAAAACCACGACAGTTTAGATCAGGAGGGAAAATAAGATTTTTAAAGAACACTATGCTGGTAGAACCGGCATGTAAGAGACAGTACTTTTTTTTAAAAATCATTTTATTGGGGGCTCATACAATTCTTATCACAATCTATACATAGATCCATTGTGTCAAGCACATATGTACATTTGTTGCCATCATCATTCTCAAAATATTTGCCTTCTACTTGAGCCCTTAATATCAGTTGCTCATTTCCCCCCCTCCCCATAACCCCCCCATGAACCCTTCATAATTCATAACTTATTATTATTTTGTCATGTTACAAGTGTGCTTATCTTAAAGCAGTGGTTCTCAACCTTCCTAATGCCATGACCCTTTCCTATAGTTCCTTGTGTGGTGGTGACCCCCTCAACCATAAAATTATTTTATTTTATTTTATTTTATTTTTAAAAATCGCTTTATTAGGGGCTCATACAACTCTTATCATAATCCATACATACATCAATTGTGTAAAGCACATCTGTATATTCATTGCCCTCATCATTCTCAAAACATTTCCTCTCCACTTAAGCCCCCGGCATTAGGTCCTCATTAGGTCCTCCCCACTCCTCCCTCCCTCATGAGCCCTTGATAAGTTATAAATTATTATTTTGCCATATCTTGCCCTGTCCGACGTCTCCCTTCACCCACTTTTTTGTTGTCCGTCCCCCAGGGAGGAGGTCACATATAGTTCCTTAAATTATTATTTTGTCATATCTTGCCCTGTCCG